GGGGGATGAGTGTCAGGGGTGGGGAGCTAAGGCTGCCACTCTTTCTCTCCATGTCGTCTCCCTCCCCCCTGCTGCTGCAACCTGGCACGTTCCTCAGGTAGACCCCTTACCCTGGGGTCACCAAAGCAGCTTGTGTGTCTGGTGGTGGCTGATGGCCATGGACCCTCATGGAGGAACCCCTGGGGCTGGGGTACTTGCTGTCTCTGCCATGGATGTTCAATGTGAAACCTTTTGAGGGAATTCAGCTCTTGTCAGCAAGTCATGCCAGTGTAACAAGGCTCCTTGACTGTTATGCCAGGGTTAGTGTCTGCAGCAGCAGCTGCTCCCACCGGGACTGCTGTTTTGGGCCCGAGGCAAGACTGCAGCTCAGCCCCTAGCCAGGCTGAGGAGGAGGGGGAAGAGGAAGGAGGTGATGCTTGCAGACCTGGCAGCACCTTGCAGACCTGGCAGCTGGGACTGCAGAGGATGGGCATGCTTGGCTAGGACACTGTCAGGGGTGCTGTCTGTTCTGGTCTTCCAGTCCCAAGCCCCACCTTCCCGTGCTCAAACCTTTCTCCTGCCGTCTCGGCCATACCAGGATCTGGCTAGCTCAAGCACAGTCCCAGCACCCCTCCTGCACTGTCTTTCAGCCAGCCTTACCAACCTGCAGCACCAGCCTGCCACACTGAGGCCCCAGAGCCCTTTCTCCAGCCCAAGAGGGAGCTTCAGGATTTGAGAATGGGGTCAGGGAGAGCTTTCTTTACCTTTACGGGGTCTTGGGGAAGGTGGTGGGATTCTCCAGCCCTCTTGTCCCTCTGCACAGCAGGACGTCATTGCCCTCATGAACCCCTTCCCTCCACAGGGGAAGGGGAAGCCGTGCATGGCAGGGCACATTGGCTTGTGGGCCATTTTTAGGCTGCTTCTTTCTCCATGTCTCTTCTTTGAGTTCACAAATCCTCCCCATGCACCCCAGTGCCACTTGCAGCACGTGGCCTTTGTTTCCCAGAACAGCATGTGATGTTTCTGTGCTCAATAAAACCCTGGTCTGGTTTTTCAAACAAATGAACGAGTTGTTTTTGGGGTTAGTTGGGCTTTACACAGAGGAGATCTCCTCCTTCCCGGCCCCTCTGGCACCTCCATCACAAGAAGGCCCTGATAGTTATTGCGTGAGAAAAGCTGTTGCTGGGCCTGGTGCCAGCTGGGGGGCCTCTGCTGTCCAGGCTTTCAGAAACAGGGCCAAGAATTGAGGCAGGCTGGCATCCCTGCTCACCGGCCCTGGGTTGCAGAGCAGTGCAGCAGCATTGGTGCTGGCACATGTTGAGGCACTTTGTTTGGAAAGGGATGTACATTTGGACAGTGCTGAAGTGCTCAGAGTGCTTCAGATTAGGGCAGGAGGTTTGAAGCTCTTGGTCAGGAGCCCTACCAGGCAGCCCATCCTGGACTCATTGCCCAGTTGGCCACACCTGCTAGAGGCTCTTACTGGTAGCTCCTCCCTGGCTGATGAACCAGCTGGCTGCTGTTAGGGCCTTGATTAGCTGCCAGGAGAACAGGCTTCTTATTTAGGCCCACCTGTGGCAGCAGCCTCAGGCCAGCCCACAGCTCTTTGGAAGGCCTGCCATGGGAAGCCTTCCTAAATTGTGTGCTTTTTGCTCTGGCTTCTGACCCTGCTTGGCTTTGGACTCTGGCTTTGGGAGCTCTGCTCAGCTTTGGTAACTTGGTACCTTACTCCACAGCACTGACTTGACTTGCGGTTTGACTAGGACTCTGCTCCCGGCTCCTGTCCTCCCCTGGTGACCTAACCACTAGGTTAGCCCAGTCCTTACACTCTTCACATGTATGTCTGTCTGTGCTCAGATGCTTCTTACACCGGTGTCTCAAGCCCATCATCCCGTTTGGGCTGTGTGTACCCTCGGGGACTGCAAAGCTTACCTTGGCCAGGGAATGAGCAACCCAACTTCAGCTGGAAGTGGCTGATGTACTGCTAAACAGATGCATGCTGCCTTGCCAGAAGAGGCTGCTGTACTGAGCCTCAACCCCCATGGCTCACCCCACAGCCCAGCACCCTTCTGTCTTTCCCCATTCCTGGATACTACATGGGGGAGGAGATGATAACATTTGGATGCTTATCTTGCTGGGATCCTTTGACCCTAGCTGACCTCCTGCTACCGGGGCCGGGGGCTGGACTTGATCTTCAAGGTCCCTTCCAGTCCTAACATCTATGAATATCATGGTGCTACCACTCCCTTTCCCCCTTCTCTCTGCTGGTGGAAGGAAAAGGAGCTGGGTTTCTTCTACAGGAATGGTTCATCTCTCCCATGAAGTAGAGGACAGACACAGCAGTAGTGGGGCTAGAAGGAGTGGTATCAGAGAGGAGGAATACACTTGGGATTGGAAATGGATCACAAGGGAGAGCTGGGGGATTGCTTTGCTCTCTGCAATGTTGGTTACAGCCATTATAAAACTCATTAATCTTCTTAATGCCTCTCCAGTGCTGAGCTAGTGGGAAGCTAGTGAAAGGCAGCCGGGTACTCCAATGAAGGGATCTTAATTGGCTGCTTATATTTTCCTTCCTTCAGGCATGGTAGCTTTTTGCTCATCTTGAGAGCTTAGGCTTCACTCTGCCTCTTCCACCCGCATCATACAGATTACTGGAACTGCTCCAGGCTGAGCTTGAAAACAACCATCGGGGACTTGAAGGGGTGGGAAGCTTGAGAGAGAGGGCCCTGCTTCACCTGAGATCAGACCAGGGTGGGAGACCAAGGGGTGGAGGCTGTATCAGTCAGTGCCCCCTCAGTGCAGTGTGTCCCCATTTCTTGCATGTGGTCATTAAAGATCTCTTAGTCCCAGTGTCCTCTGAGCCAGTTCTTCTCCTATTAGCCAGTCTGTGCTGTGGTTCTCTATCCCGCGATCAAGGTTACCCCTGTGTTCAGATTGAGACCATGATAAAGGTGTTATGAGGCCACAGCACCTGCAATGGCCCAGTGAGGCAGCCCTATCCTTGCATCTCCTATGGAGTTGCTGCAGAGCCTGGGCAGAGGTTTTGGTGCTAACAGCAGAGGTTGCTGTTGGCACAGCTACCCTGAAATCATGGCGTTCAGGGGCATCCCCGAGCCAGGCTCCTTGATCTGCTGAATGTCTGTTGCTGTGACAAAGGATAAATCCTGGTTTCAGCTTCCACTGCTCCTCTTATTGAACCAACAAAACTGCTTGCCAGATCCCCATGGAGTGAGTTGTCTTAGACCCCCTGCCAGGGTCAGGGAGCAGCTTCCAACTGGGCCAAGCTGATCAGGAGGCTGCGGCCCAGCTGGGGAAGGCTCCCTGTCTCCTCTGCTGAGAACAGCCACCACCTACACACCACAGAGGCCCCGGTGTGCAGATTGCACAGGGGTTGGGTCCGGCCAATGTTTGTAGGGCCTCCTTAAAGCTAGTTGTGTAGCACCAGTGATCCCTGCTCTGAGCATCTGCATAGGAACTGCCTAAGCCCTCCTGAGAGATGCTCTGTCCACACTATGTAAAAGTATCCTGAAACCACCTTGGAGGAGCTGGGTTTGCACTAAGTTTGACCATCAGTGGGTGGGGGGCAGTATTTCTGCTAGACTCCCCCTGACTCTGCCCCTGATGATGGTGTGCTCTGTACAATGCTCAGAGAAGGACTGTGTGATACAGGGATCCAACAGCCTGCGAGGAAGCTTACATTGATGGTGTCAGCAGGTTGCAGTGGGCAGGGCAGGGGACTCAGGCTTCCTGACCCTGCTGTAGGGTGGCCTTGGTTTTGTTACATCCTTTCTCTGCATTTCAGTTTCCCCTTGGTTGTGAAGGGAACATCCCTCACTGGGATCTGTAGTGTGGTGAGGCCTTGAGCCTGGTTGGGCATCTGGGTGTTGTGTGTAGTACAAGCATCGAGCAATAGTTCTGCAGAGGCAGGGAGGATCACCAGAGACCCACTCTAGGAGCTAAAATTTTGGGCTCCCAAATTATACAGGGGAGGCTCAAGCCCACCCTCCTTTTCCTCTGTCTGGCTTTAGCTTTATCTCCTGAACCATAATCCCTAGTGGAGGCTAGCCTGCTGCAGGATTCCCCCATCACACTTCCTACAGGGCTGTTGCCTGCACTAACTCCCAGTCCTATTCTTTCTCTCCACAGTGTGCGTGCTGTACACCCAGGGCATAGAGACCAAGCAGTGGAGGGAGGTACGTACTGTGCGATTTCTTTCCTGTTCATATGAGAGACCCCAGGGTTTTGTGGAGGAGAGGCAGGTGAGACCAGTGGCTAAGAGCTAAGGTGGTTGTTGGTTTCCATTCTCTTCTGTCACCCATTTGCTCTGTGACTATGAGCAAGTCACTTCTTCCCTTTGTCTCAGTTTCCCCACCTGCCAGTGATGTTGATGAGCCCAACCTAGCCCATGAGGCAGCCTGAGGATCAGCGCAGAAGTGTCTGGGAGCCACCTTGCCTAATGCTTTTCAAGAAGGGACACAGCAATTACTGGAGTTGGAAAGATGAGGAAATCAGACAGACGTTCTCCTGGGGATTCAGCCTGTCCTCTTTCCCCACGGTCTCCTGCTTGGTGCTCAGCTGTTTATTCCCATCCAGAACGTGGACAAGCACACGTGCTTCCTCAGTTGCCCTCTTGCACTCGGTCTGTCCCTAGCTAGTGCCCTCAGGATGCAGTAATATGTGCATGTATGCACAGGAGCCAGGGCCCAGCGGTGTGTGGCTGTGGTTCTGGGCAGATCCACATGTAAGTCTGCCCTTGTGTCCAGCAGCGTGTATGTGTGTGCAGAAATGTATGTGGTTTAATTCTGAGTATATCTGTGTGCAAATCTGCTGGATATGTTTGTGTGTGAGGGGTGGAAGCCCATTGATGTGGGTGAGGTTGTGCATACAAGTGTGAGGGAGCTGGGGACCTATGTAATCTGTGGGTGAGGATGTAAATATATGTCCATATGGATGTGAGCTGGTGAGTGCAGGTGCACTTGTGTGTCTATGTGGGTGTGAGGTGGTAGATGTGGGGGTCCCTGTGTGTGTCCACATGTAGATGGGGAGCCAGGGGTATGGCTGTATATGTGTGCGACTGGGGACACATTTTGGTGGGTGGACATGTGCTGCAGAACATATACAGCATGGCTCCTGCTCTTACTGCAATAGGAGGCCTTCGAGACCTGGGTCACCGTCAGGCTTTGTTCTGTACACTGCAAAACAGGGTACTCCTTGAGTACCAAGCTTGGCAACTGCTGAGCAAATGAGGAGCAACTTGTGTCTCTCTCTGAAGCTATGGCACCAGGCTGGGCCTGGCACAGGCTTAGGTAGACGTCATGTTGGGATAAGCCATGGCGAGGGAATTTGTTTGACAGGAATGGTTATAAAAGGAAAATTTCAATGATTAGCTGTGGATACCCACAAGTATGCCCCCTTCCCCTACCCCCAGAAATACATGTGCACCTACAAGCAAACACAAGAATGAGTACACATGCATATGTACCATCTCCTGCACATGCAAGCGAGCACACACTTATGTGAACACACTCAAGTCCATAGATCACTCACAGACAAGTGAATGTATACTGAAGCCTGGATATGTGGGCACATGCAGATGCAGACTTGTGAGCTTATACATGTATATACACACAAACAAATGAGTACAAATACACTCATTCAGATAAGTGCATGCAAATGCGCACACAGCTCTGGTAAAGCTTGTTGCAATCTCTGCACAGTGACTTGGTGACTATGGGTGGTTAGTGCAGTGTTTCCCAACCAGTGTGCTGCGGCACAAAAGTGTGCCGTCAGAAATTAATAGATGTGCTGTGGAAGTTTGCCATGGCAATGAGCTACAATGGGTATGAGGATGGGGAATGCCTTAACAGGTATGCCATGGAAAAAAATTATTAGTGTAAGTGTGCCTTGGGCTGGAAAAGGTTGGGAAACACTGGGTTAGTGTATCAGGGTTTTAAACAGGCAGAGATCTCCACACACAGCATGGCAAGATGCTGAAAGCTCCTGCTTCTCTCGTGATTTCATATGCTGAGCAGCACGTCTTGTGTCTCGGGCTACGTCACTGAACAGCTAGGAGAGCAGTGGCTAGACTGTCTTTCATGTCTGATAATGATTTGTTGGCCCGTGAAATGTGTGATGGATCTCATTCTGGTTTCTGGTGGAAGAATGCCCACATCATTAAGAACAATAGAAAATTGCTCTCTTCCCTTAAAACAGTAGGGACTCTCCCTACCACATGAGACCAGTGGGGAATCCCCCGTACTGAGAACAATAAAAAACATTCAAGTTCCTCCATTAAGAATAATGGAACTGAAAACCATGGAAGTTACTGTCTGCTGGCCTCTGAAAAGCTTTCCCCCGTGTTGTCTATTGACTTGAAGCCACCAACAAAGTGGTTTTGGAACCTCTCCAAACCAGAGGTGAACAAGAGAAGTGTCATTGGTGTCTGGATCAGGGCTGGACTGTTGGAGGTTGAGCCAGAGCACGGGTTCCAGTACAGTGGCACTGGTGTCCCCCAGCATTTCTCAAGGGCAAAGGTGTGACTATCAGCTTTGGTGCCATGGGAAAACTTCTTGGCAAGGGGTGGAGGGGTGCTGAATGCTAGAGAGCAGGGGGGGAGGAGAAGGCGTGGTAGAAGGATGAGTCCACAGGGCAGGTAAGACCAAAGACCTCCTGCTGTGTCCTAGCAGCTGGCCCCTGCAGGTGGGCACATTGGGTCTGCTTCTAACACAACAAAGGCTCTGGGGTGAGGGGACACCCTTATGGCACCACCTCTAAGTTGACACTTGGAGCTGATGCCCCCCTCGTACCCTGATTGTGCTACTGCCCGAGAGAGCTGTGCCATAGTTTCTTATGTGATAGAGAGAGAGAAAGCTTCTGCCATCTTGAATGTCATGCTCAGGAGGCTGTCTCCATTTTCAGCCTTATCTAACTTATCCACAGAAAACAGATCTCTTGTTTCTGAGCTAGAGTGGAAGTGAAATGGGGGCAGGTTGTGATGCAGGGTTTTGTATGTACAACCCTCCCACCCACAAACTTCTTGGAGCTGCTCATGGCTTGAGGCTCTGCCGTGGGCCTGTTTCCACCAGCACGTTTTGGCTAATGCCAATGACTGAGGTCAAGAAACGCAAGGGCCTTTTTGCATTTCATTTGCTTGCAGAAGGGCCATGCGTTGCGAGACAGCCAGGCTGCCTGATGTCTGAGTAATGACAGCTGAGGACAAGATGCCCGACTGCAAGCTGTCAGATGTGTCCATAAAACTCACAAACAGGCCATATCCTAAAGGGTGAACCTGAATCTGAATGAGGCAGATGGAGCGAGTGAGACACCAGGATTGCAGTCGCTACCAGGGGGGCAGGAGCAGCGTGTGCGCTCCTTATGGTGACAAAAGCCTTGGTTCCCATGGCAGATCCTCCTTGCTGGCCATATGATGGGTGGAAGGAGGTGGGGTTACCCGTTCGTATTGATGTGTTAAGGAGCATCCAATCCTATTCATGGCCAGGTGTCCTTGCTAGGTGGAGTGGTCACATCCCTCCTCTCCTAGCACAGGCTTGAGCTGACTGCTTTAAAAACCAAGGGGAGTTTCTGTTTTCCTGTTTTGCACCTAAATGGAAATTTTCTAGCTAGGTATGGGGCGCTCCGTGCTTGCCCTGTGCTATGGATACATAGACATGTGTGCAGACTGAGCATGTACAGTGGGCATGTACTGGCCAGGCACATACATGTATACCTGAGTGGAAGTTCAGGAAAAAATCCTCCCATGTAGCTGAGCAGTTAGTGCTCGTAAACTCTGCGTTTTAGCCTCCCACCCAGAAGGGACTTGAACATGCATCTCCAGACCCCTTTCCAGTTCTCCCTTTGAAGTTGAGCCACCTCCTCTTGCATGCAGCCATTGTTGGACAGAGAGCGATGCAGTGGGGAAGTTTCTGCCATGCTAGGTGTGAGGCTCCAGGCTGGTGTGCAGGGTTCTCTGTTCTGGGGCAGCTCCCATCTCACCTCCTCTGACTTGACTTCTTCCTCCTTGTCCCACATATTTCCCTCTTACCTGTTCAAAATGGAACGGCCCCAGGGTGGATATGCCTGACCTGTGGCCTGATGGTTAGGGCCCTGTGCTGGGAAGCAGGGTCAAACTACTTCTGGGTGAGGGGCACCTGGAATCTAGGTCTCATGTTTCCTTTGTAAGCATTCAAAGCACTCAGCTGTTGGTGCCAAAGCATGGGAGTTTCATCGTCCTCTCTAGCACTCGCACCTGCTGACTGTGGGTTTCTGGCTGGCCGCATTATTACATGTATGCATCCAGAATGGACCTGTGTATGTGCCCAGGCAGGGCATGGCCTACTGCTCACGCTTAGTCTATGTGCACATGCTCACTCATCCACAATGTGGAGGTAACAGAATCACGGCTTTTGTGTAAGGTGCCACAAAAACCACTTACCCAGCTAGAAATCTGCTGTTTGGGGGCACAGAGGGCAATCAAATTTTGGTCCAAGTGCTTGTCCTGTGCAGACACTGAGCTGCCTTTATTTGTTGATGGTGTTCTAGGAATGGCTGCTAATTTGTTCCTAAGTACCAGATCTCCTCTGGAGTACTTGTAGAAGTACCTGTAGGTCGTCTCTGGAGTCAGATGAACTAGGAGAGGGCTGGATCAACTAGCCAGCAGGCCTTTCTTGTTTCTGGTACTCTGCAAACTCATGGGAAAAGCACGTTATCAAGAGTGAAAGGCATAAAATAGTCAGCCGTGTTCTCATTTGTAGACTTCAGAGTTAACCGCCATGCAGAAACAAGTGAAGACAAATGACACCCACCAGACTGCAGAATCAGGCAGACAGGAAGGCATAAGTGTCACATTCATAAGAGGGTCTTTTCACAGCCATGAGGGTTCAAGACATAGGGCAGGATAATTTCATGTCTTTTGGCAGCTGTGCAGGGAAGTCATGGGCTTAAGCAGGAATCGCTGCTCTGCCCATATCCCACCCACATGCTCTTATGGGGAGTAGCTCCCTCCTGAAGCCTGTTCTATTCCCAAAGGCCAGAGCAGGGATCCCTCTGCTTGCCTGCAGTGGGGAATCAAACTTGCTACCTGTTTCAGAAGTTTCCCAGCCAACAAACTTGTCTGTCCCTGTTGTCACGCTCACCACATCGGGCTTTGCTGTCAGATGAGTCCGAGAGCCTGATCAGTTCATCTCAGCATGCAGCTCGTTGGAGGTCAGAAGGGCCTCTGTAGCTTGAGCTCCCACCAGTGTGGATGCTGTGATGTGTGTGGCTTTGCACCTTAGTTCTGGTTCTTGCTACGTGGTCCTCTCTGCATCTCTTTGGCTTTCTGGGAAGCACAGCTGGTTCCAGGTGATTCACAGCATTAGGGACCAATGGAAAAGTACTGGGTAGGCATCCAGGGAGAGCAGTTGACTAATGCACCAGTCTCAGACCCTGGGGAGCTGGGTTCAGATCTGCTTTGGTCATGTGAGACTCATTACCGCTTGTGGAGCAACTTTGGCAGGAAGCATCTGTCACCTTCCCTGATTGGTTGGGAGATCTTCATCACCCTGAGTGACCAACTTCAGGGGTTGCAGCATGAGCCATGGCTGTGCAGAATGCAATGGCTTGGCCCTTGGGTGAGCTGGACTAGTGTAAGCTCATCATCACATCACCCCTGCAGTCCATACCAGGGTCTGCCCTTGGGCAAACAAAACATGTTGGGCTAAACCCCTCCTTTGCTGTAACACCACTGGCTTTACACCAGGGAGG